AAGATGTCATAAAAATGACGATAGGTAATGGTTCGCAAAAAAAAAATCATTTTTCCAATGCTGTGCGTTGCAATATGCACAGCACCAACAATCAGAGTTATCGGAGCTATCAATGAGAGCTCCTCTCATGCACTTGAATGAGTGAACTGAGCAGCAACACACGCAATGAAGCCGTCCAATCAACTATATACCCATGCCACCTCATGTGACCTGAATCCATTCCTATCTCACTGCTGATCTGTTTTTGTCTTATCATTGTACGCCACTGACCCACTTCTGAAAACGTTACATCTCACGAAGTCATCGCTTTTTAATAGCAGGTGTAAACAAAAAACACACAAAAAAAAACAGATCGGCTGACAACTACCCTTGCATCGACGATAACGAGACGAATGATTGAAATGTCATGTGTGCAAAATGAGCCTTGTTTGATGTAAAACAGTTGCATTGATTCATGCTTTTAGCGGTACCCAAGCACAATGCAGGCAACAGGCCGCTAAAGTCTGCTTTGAATTTCAAGACACTTCCTAATCACCCGATAAACGTAGGACGACAAAGTATAATCGGCAGTCCAAGCTGTTCACAACACATACCGCTAGGCTTTGACCGTATCATCTTGCGGCATTTGTGGTCATGAAGGTGTCAAGCGCTGTCAGAATTTTGAAAGCCATTTTTCTTCAGCACTTAGGACAAGTAAACCTTTGGACACTTACTAAAGCGCTGGTAAGATATATTAGCCCATAAAAACGCACATGTGCCGAAGCACTGCACTTCTAATAACATCGCTTTTCTATGCGTGTGATGCTGGCAATCAAAGCCGCTACATGACTGATGCAGGCAAGCCAGCTCAGATTTGCGCGACTTCGATGGCAGTTACTGTTCCTGGTGATTGACGTTAACTGCGAAATGGTGTCAAACTTGGCACTATCAAACGTGGCAATGCCATCACCCGAGACGGATTGGTGCAGCAGAGTTTTCCAAATACGGGCGTCATATGCGTACAGCCAGCATTGCAGCTATAAGATTTCCAGTCTCCCGGCACTATAACAGCGACATTTAAATGACATTTTTGTGCAGAAAAATGACACTGTTATTTTGATGTCTCTATGATAGCGCGACTCACAAAACATACCGAAAGCAAAATATGGAAACTGGATATGAGTTTCTGGAATCAGCCCGCAAACCAAAACAAAGATGTTATTTTCATGAGCCAATCCCCCATCGCATGGGTTGGCAAGCGGAAACCAGGTTTGACACAGCTAAGGAACAGCAATACTTTGAAGAAATAATGATATATCATAATGCTTCAGGGGCAGATCATTTTCATTGAAATATGAGTGCCTGCCTCCGGGAAACACGATGTCTAAATATCTGAAGTTGGTCCTACAAGAGCACGTCGTCCGAAAACGAGGAAAACCAGCCTGGGCTGCATGGTAGACGGTCACGGAACAGCCTCAACTACTGATTCAGTTTTCGATCTGTTATTAAAGAATCTCACGCCGACATAACCACTACAATAAAAACCGAGTCAGGCTCCAAAAACCTATCATATGGTACATAACAGCGTCAAAGGCAAATATAGCCATGTAATCGAATGTTTGCGTTCAATAGTTCAAACACTATTCGTTAGAATTGTGTTTTTTCTATTGAAAAACAAGCCTGAGTATGTGCACTGCGTAGTGCGTAGTGTGCAGTCATGAATCATGTTACGTCTGAGTTATACTATATGTATGTAAAATCCTTACCGATCTATGTACACGTTCATATTAATATTAACCGAAACTTTGTGTTCAATAGCTATCACCTCATTCTTTAGTGCTAAAAGCTCTCGTTGAGAGTAGCGCGAAGAACGTGCTATACCCTGTCCAGTGTCCATTGACCATGCCCTTATCATGAAAACACGACAAACGAACAAACCCAAACCCTCGCCGGACCTATTGGTTTTCTTTTTTACATACGAGCCGGCCGAGGGGGGGGGGCGGTTGGTACCCGGCCCCCTCGCCATTTAGCCCCTGATGGAGCTAGAACGTCTCAGGAAAACAAGCGTGTGCGCCGTTACGAGACGCAGCGACTGGTACCCAATTTTAAGGTCTCAGGGCAGCCGGTGACCTCTGAGGTCAGGTCAAATGGCCCAAGGCACGGGTTCAGTTTTCGATAAATAACTTCGCAAAAAATGGTCGCAGCGACACAATTTTGGCATCACCGTGTTTGCCTTGCTCAGGCACGTCAAATGGTATACTTTTTGATCGGGTGAGGTCACCTTCAGGTGTTGAACTCGGGTCACTAGGTCAGGTCAGAGCCCCCAGGTCACGAAGCTGGTCGAATGAGGTCATGTCGCATATCATTCGATTCGGCAGGTTTTCCTGAGTCCATTGGTGGCATTCCTGACTCGCTAGCTCAATTTGATCCGGAGTTATTGACGAAAAACTAATATGACCCTAATGACGTCATAAATGACGTAACGTTTGACGTTTAAATGACGTTTACTTATAGGTTGTCGATGCGCAATAAACATTCTGGAATGGAATGGAAAAAACGCAAGGTCAGTATTGCGAGTGACGCATCTGCCCTTGCAAGGAGTACAACAAATCACGATTTTGTGTGCTTCAAATAATTGGAGAACGTTCCCGGTGCCAGAATAGCAATTTTCATTTTTCCCCATTGACTTATAGGTAATGGTGAGGTCACGAAAATGACCTGACCTCATATGACCTTTAGGAAAAATCCGAGATATAAAAGTTATAAAAGTTGTGAGACTCGTAATGGATACTAGATCCTGCTAGTTTCATTTCCCTGTGAAAGCTCCTCTGGCAGTGAGGGCGTTGCGAAGTTAAGCGACATCTGAAGACCGTGCAGAGGTTCACTTATGACGTCATAGCCCATAGGTCAGTGACCTGACCTGACCCGAAAATGCAGTTCGAATCAAACAATTCGCCTTGAATCAAAGGCCAGGTATGCCAAGTTTCAGCTCTCTATCGCTAGCGTGTTCAGAGCTATCGCGAAAAAACCCGATGGGGAGGGGGCACCAGCCCCCCCCCCCTCGGCCGGCGAGACATTTAAAACCACAAAAAGACTGCAAACGCACGGATAATGTGAGCCGACATATGCCGAATCGCAATTCCGGCCAAACATAGTCTCGAGAAATAGGTCACAGATCAAAGATCATTTGGGTGAAGGTCATGACATTTTCAAGGTAGGTGTACAATTGATTAACTCCAGGCTAACAAAAGGTTCGTCGCAATCGGCTGCTTTTTGCGCGAGTTGTTCGCAAAAACCGAGGGGGCCGGGGGATCGGATCCGTTGACCCCCCCCCCCCCCCATAAGTGAGAGGGCTAATGAATAGGTATTTGCCAGCAGCCAGCTAATTCGACCTTCCTGTTTATGATCGTGTAAACACACAAACATGATTGGTGTTTTGGCGTCATGCATAATTTATCTGATACCATTTTTTGTTTGTTTTGTTGAGTAGGCCCTTTCGGTCCATTGACACCATTGTAGAGCTAAAAGAATGATAGGAATAAGGGGGAGATATTGGTCTGGACAGGCACCCTAGTAAGTCGCCGCGGCTAAGCCCGTCCGTTAGGACAGGCCGACCAGCCCTCACAAGCACTCACTGCACCCGGCTACGGGTGGGCTCCCTTAGCCCGCGCCCCGTAGGGCTATCGGCGGACCCTACCACCCGTAGGGGGGGCCCCCCCTAAGATCTCGGAAATTTACCGGCCGATTTTCAAAATTCAAACGGCGTTTGATAGCCCCATCCGGGAACTACCTTGTGACCTAGGTCAAGCCGATTACGTCACAGGTCAGGTCAAAAGTCGGATTTTCACCGTGAACAGGTATTTCAAGAAATGTGTTGTGAGATCGAGTAAATTGGTAATTTATTGAAAACCATCGATGGTACATTGTTCGTCAAACACATAGTTTGCTATCTGAGGTCACTGATACCAGGTCAGGTCACAGCGAGGTCAGGTCACCGGGGGTCACAATATAAAAGTATCGTGTGATACTTGTTTTATGGTCCATTTTACATGACAAATGCGATTATGTGGGTCAGGCAGCCTTTGGGGCCAGCCTAGGTCACGTTTTGGTCAAGGTCAGGTCAAGGTCAGGTCAAATTAGGTCAAATTTCAAAGTTAATATTTTTGCATAAAATGGGTAATGATTCGATGCAGCTCGTCACGGGGAGTCTAATGGTGGTCTTTGTTTTGCTCTACGAGGTCTAGAATTGCCACAAATTGAGTTTGAAAATTTGACGTCATCATTTTTGAACAGATTTTTCGCTATAACTTGGCCAAAAAACGAGGTATCGATCTGAAATTTGGTATGTAGATAGACGACGGTAGGTACTATCACATATATTCCGTTTTTTCGAAACTCAAAAAACTTTTTGGATTTTTTGGCTAATATATCCAAATAATGCTTTTTTTATTTTTGGGGGTCAAAACTCAAAAATTTCAAAAATCTGAGATAACAGTTTTGTAGCCCTGTTAATTCTACACATTTTATGTCTTGATCATTTTTCTGTATCTTCAAAGCTGTAGGCCTGATAGGTCTTCTCGCGAAGGTCTTTTTCCGGTCGAAAATGACAGAACATGATGTCATTCTGACGTCATTTGTGGCCAACCTATCATAGCCTCTGAAAAAAACATTTTGGTCACAATGTGTAAAATTGATGCCCGGAGGGGTCCTGCAAATTTCGTGGCGATATCTCCGGCCGTTTAGGAGATATCGACGGAAAAGGACAGGGGGCTGTTTCGGCCCCCCCCCCTACGGGGCGCGGGCTTTTAGGAGCTGCGGTGTGCTCCAATGGGAGCCGCCCGCATCAGATAAAGTTGCCTGTCCAGCCCTAAGAAGGAACTGTGGCGTGGAGGAGAAGAAATTGGGTATATTGAGGATGGAAACGATGGAACGAGTGATCTGCTAAGAAAACAATTCAAGAGGACATCTCCACTTTGATATTTTTTAATCAACAAACAGACCAGCCCTTTCATGCAACTTACCTCGTTAAAAATGTGTGACAGTTCTTTGGCTGTGAGCTTGTGAAACACGAGTAGGTCATAGACGACGCAGGTGCCCAGCACTGTGATCCCGTGCTCTTTCGTGAGCATTGCACACGCGGCGCACACAAAGCACGCGAACAGGGCGCGCCAGCCGCGCCGCGCCGGTGGCGCCACGCTGCGGTGACCGGCGGCACTTCCGTTTCTGTGCAGCGGCCGCGGCGCGTCCGTCGTCTCGCGCTGACGCAGGTAAGCGCTGTACGAGAAGAAGCTGAGCAGGAAGAAGACGGCGGCGCCGACGTCGGCGCGTCCGACCACGCCGGCCACCGCCTCCGTGTGCACGGGGTGCACGGCGAACAGCAGCGAGCCGAGCCAGGCGGCCGGCGAGGCGGCGCCCAGCAGCTGCGCGCACAGCTGGCCGAACAGGCCGCAGGCCAGGCAGTGCAGCAGCACGTTGACCAGGTGGTAGCCCCAGGGGTGGAGGCCGCCGGCCAGGTAGTTGAGCCGGAAGCTGAGCACGGTGATGGGCCGGTAGGACTTGTGCGAGCCGCTGTGGCTGAGTGGCGTGCCCCAGAAGTCGTCCCGCAGCAGGCTGGAGAGCGGCGTGCTCGGCAGGATGTCCGGGTTGGTCTTGATCGCTCGGCTGGGAACACAGACGGACAGGGCGGTCAGAGGCGCCGGCCCACGGGACGCACCGCTCGCTGGTAGCCGCGACACGTGTCAAAACACGGGCCCGCCGCCCCGGCCGGCCGCCGCCGCCTGCACAGCCGCGCCGATAGCCCGCGCGCCGCTGAAATTCTAAACAGGACGCCTATTAAAATTCATCGAATCGGGACGTCAGTTTAGGGAGGCAAAGGTTAGATCATCACCGCCGTATTTGTCATCTTAGTCGGATGTTGGAGAATTGATGAGCGCCACCGTATGACATTGGTTTTGAAACCTGCTGCAGAGTTTGAGAAAGGATTCAGAAGAAAAGAATTTCGATTGTGTTGTTCGACGTTTTCCTAAAGAGGTTAAATCCAGTTAGCCAATATCGCAGCATGTTATCTACTTTTACAAAGCTTAGACACCGTGCACGCTACCATTGAAGGCAACGTGTAGCTTCGGAGCCCAACATGACTCGCGTATCACGACAATCAATAGTGTTAGCAAAACCGGCGACCGCAGGAATTTCACAAGAGAAAGTAAAACACCCTTTCTGATTTACCATTTCTGCAAGGTTGCAAGAAACCAGATCATAAATTAGCTACCGTCGGTTCACAGTCAATCAATCCCCACCCCAGCTGTAACTAGCCGCTGTACCGCCTCCGGATTGGAACGGCCCAGATCGTCAAACAGCCCTCCACAACTAGCGACACAATCGGGCCAGGCCGGCCGGCGCGCAGGTGAGGCCTGGCAGCCGACTTATCGCGACACCACATCCAAACACGGCCGCCGAGCCGGGCCGGCCGGCCGGGCGGTTGGCGCACGAAGGTCGCCAGCCAGCGCAGCCGGCCGGCCTGCCTGTCACCGCCGCGCGGCCGGCAGACGCGCCGAGACGCGCCGCCGCCGCCAGATCGGAGAATAATTGACCGCCGGGCCGCCGGGCGTCTCCGGCCTCCCTAATTGCACCGCTCGCTAGCCTAATAGCAGAGCGCACCGGCCGGCGCCGTCCGCGCTGCATAGACATTGGTGACGCGGCAGTGGCGGCGGTGGCGCAGAAGCGGGATGAGAACGAGCCTGCGGCCGGTTCCAGGCGGCACATTCTGCCGTGGGTGTGGAGGGCGGGCCCCGTGACCGGTGCCAGCGATTCCTGGATGCAAACGAGTCGTAAACCGGCCAGAATGTCGCGGCAGGGGCCGGGCCGCACCGACACCGCCGCCATAAACGAGGCTTTCTCATTTGTCGGCGGTGGCGGCATTCGTGACGCATTTGGCACGGTTCGGGCCGACGCACGCAGCGGCACCGGCGTGCACGCCGCCCCCGACGGCCGGCGACATGAAACGGGCCGCGCCGGGGTCCAGAGCGCAATGACCAGCAGCAGCGACTGCACGGTGGGAGGGACGCCTTCCCGGAAATAGACAAAGGGCAATTGCATGGTTGAAGTGCAGAAACGTCTTAAATATTCCTTTGCCGAAATGTCAGGAAAAGTGACGGTCTGACGACTGGAAATTCATTAATTGAATATCATCAGTGTCCGCGGCGTTGGAGTGATGCTCTCTGAGCACCACCCTGTCATTGTGCGTCGGCCGTAGTTTCCGTCCATCCCTCCTCCCGCTGCTGCCATGTCCGTCTCCCTACCACAGGGCGGCAGCGGCGGCGGCGGCCTGGCCCGTTGCACGGCGCGAACCGGGCCCGGTCATCCACCACATCAAATGGCCCGCCGGCCGGCCGGCCGCTGCCGTTCCTGCAACTCACTCCGGTTTGAGGAGTGAGTGACCGACGGCAGCGTGCCGACCTGACGGACGGAAATGGGGCGAGCCGCCGCCGACAGACGGGCAAGAGATGGACGGGAGACGGGCAGGAGCCGCCGTCAGCTGGAGCAGGAGACAGCGGTTAGACGGGCAGGAGATGCGTTCAGGTGGAGCAAGAGATGAGGTCAGATGGGGTGGGAGACGAGGTCAGATGGAGCAGGAGTCAGCGGTTAGACGGGGCAGGAGGGGGTAAGAGACGCTTTCAGGTGGAGCAGGAGACACCGTCACGCTAGTCAGGAGACAGACTGGCTCCGCTCGGCACGCCGGCCAGCCAGCGGAGGAGAGCAGTCAGCAGACCAAACGGTCCGGCGCCGGGTCGAGGTCACATCCGGTGTGATGTCAATGGGATGGAACCCGAGCAATGTGTGGGTCACGGTGATTAGGCATCGGGTTTGTAGACTTTGCACTCGGTATCGGAGGTAGACGAAAGGCTGCTTTGAATAAAAACAGTTGATGCCGAGGCAAGAACCTTTAAGTTTTCTTTTCTTTACACGCACAAGTAACCACATAATTTGACAAGATACTAACTGATTTAAAATATTGATTTAAAAGCTATTAACGTCCAGGTAATTACCAATGGCCTTGAACCCGTTTTTTCATTGGTTCATGCTTCAAACAGGTTACACATAGACCTAGAGGACTTAATGGCCCATAGTCAAATGTAAAAAGCGGATCCGGTTTCAGCATTCGAGTTTGTCCATCATAGCAGTAATGCTCCTGAATAGATGTTTACTTAGCCCACCGAACCATCGTCAAAGCACGCACAGGCGCCACTGCGCTCCGCGTTTCTATGCTCAAGCGCAGCTGAGCACGGCGTTTCTGTGCACAAACAGTGAGCGTGCTGCGGCGGCTTCATCACTGGGGCCGGTGGAGGGAGCCGGTGCTCCGTGCCGCCCCGGCCGGCCCATAAGGCGGCGGCACGGGGCGTCGGTGACACACGGCCGATGAATGGAGCCGCCGGTCCGTCCCGGCACGCCACACCGACGCTACCCCTGTCACCAAACGGCCGGCATACACCAGCGCCGCGTCTCGTGCAGGAAAACCGCCACCGAGTGCATGCGATCTCAGTGAAAACAAGCCATCAGTCATTGAGTAATCTGCGCGCTCCCACACCGCGGCGGCGGACGCTGGTCGTATCAGCACAGTGGCGGCTCGCCCACCTGTGCGCCGTCCCGCCCAACTGAGTGGGTGCCCTCCCCGGCCGCTGTCCCGCCCAACTGTGTGGGTACCTACCCTTCCCGGACCATCCCCATGTGACCGGCATTCCGTGCGTCACCGGCAGGTCGTGACAGCTCCACCGCAGTGCAGACCGGCAGATATAATCTCCCCGGTGCCCGCCCGGCCCAGCTGGGCGCGGGTTCTCATCTGAGTCTGCCCAGCCCCCCCCCCCCCCCTCCTCCGCGCACCTCAGCGGTCAGATTGAGTCGCCGCCAGCCGAGCGCGACAATCGCCGGCGCACCGGTGACGTTAATGGCGCGGCGGCGGCGGTGACGCGGCCCTTATCTCGCGGCGCGGCTGACTCCATTTGGCCGATCGCTGGGAAGACTGGAGATAAATACGACCGGGGGCCGTGCGGAGGACAGTTTGGGAAATAATGGTGGCGGCTGTCGCAAGGGCAATGGAGACTCGGCTCAGATCGAAGCCACGTCATCGCTAACGTCAAAGGAAAGTCTCGGTCCTTTCCACCAGCAAGAAAGGTCACCAGCTTCACGACGACGGCTCAAGTCGGTCCCATCCCACAGAAAAGAGACTTCTGAACGATGCGTGCTGCGTCCTGGTGCCCCTACTACAGCGCCTCCTGACAAACTCTGGGACTAATCTGGCTGGTTGGTAATGTTGGGATATTGTGACCGCGGACCGGTCGACCAGAGACGTGGTTCTCACAGGTGCTCTGTGAGCTCAGAATAGTGCGCTGACGCCATGTGAAAACCCGCCGCTGTAGATGTTCGCGCGATAGCAGTCAGGGTCCGTGTGATCTGCTTTAAACGGCATGTTGAATGAGCGCGGCGCGGTAAGCCGTTTATCGCGCGCGGCCGGCCGCCGGTGTGAACGGGCCCAGTGGTGAACCGGTGACACTGATGGGGGCCATCAGGTGTCCGAGGCGGCTACTGTGCGCCGCCGCGCCGCCCACTTTACCGCCCGCCGCCGCTGCAAACCGCGCCCGCAGAGCTATAAAGGCCTGCATATCAAGATAACATCATGCAAGATAGCTGATCTTTATAGCCACTGAGTGGGGAAACGTAAAAAGCCACCTCATTACTCTACACGAATGGCCAACAGCAAATAGGAATGTCAGGAACTCATTGCTGATTCACTGCTGATGTTTATCTTGATAGTCGATGACAAGCTCATCACTCGCGTATCAGTATCCATTTGTCATATTCGCACTGTATCCTGCCACTTATGGAGCTCGCTAAAAACCAGCGCCTCGCCTCGACAGCCGATCTCACCGACACCAGCCGAGTCGGCGCGGGCGCGCTACTTGGGGACTGAAGAGGGGTCCAGTCCCGCCGCGGAGGAGGAGCCCATCCTGTGCCGCGCGGCGCCGCACGGTCTCGGCGACCGAGCACGTTTCCAGGTGCGGCGTGTCGTTGCGGCCGGTGGCGCGGTGGTTTTTGCGGCGATCACAGACGGCCGTCTGGTGGTGGTCTCCGCTTTCCGGCGGAGCTGCGCGCCGTCTAATGATGGCTCTCGCGCCGGCCGGCTGCGCCGCGGCCGCCGCGACCGGTGAGAACGCCGCACCGTGGGCCGTGCGCGCGAGCGACCAGAGCGGCGCGCGGCGTGATTACCGTTTTTCGTGGCGGCGGCGCGGCCGCAGTCGGCGCACCGTCCGCGCCATAATTGCCGCTCGGAGACGGCCGGCGAAAAAACGCCCCCTCCGGGGCGACCGGTACAGCCGGCGGCCAGCCCGCCAGCTGCGACCCGGCCCGGCCGCCCTTCGATCCAGGAAACAGCCAGCGCTGCATGGAAACGCACCACCCGCTCTCAATATTCATAAGCCCATTTTGCAATGTAAACTCGTATACTTCAATTAGGCACTGTTTGACGACAGGTGTCATGGCGGAGTGGCTCGGCCGTGAGCTGCAGGGCTGTCCAAAGAGCGCCATCCATTAGTGACGGCCGGGTGGGCCTGCAGAGTGGGCCGCCCGCTCCAACCGTGCACTGCGTCCTGAAGTGGCACGGCTGTGGG